AAATAGAATCTTGAATCCTCATTTTCAGAGATTCTTCAGTTTCAGAACTCAACACTAGAACAACTAAATCCACTTAAATTATAGGTAAATCCATAAATTACAGATTTCTAATTTAAAATTAAACTCTACTATGCTGATTTTGATCCAAATTTATGTTAACTTTGATATGATTATATAAAAGTATGCTTCTTTTAACAAGTAAAATGGTTTCACAAATATTTATAATATTGATAGACGACATATTATGCATATACAGGATACGGGATCGACGGATTAGATAAAAGCGAAGTACATAGTTCTTTACTACCGTTTTTCGACTCTCGCTACTTAATCCTATAAACAAAAGAGGTTACGCTTCTGGATCACGTGCGTGTGTCCTTTTGATTTTGACTGACCGACGCGACGCCGACGGCGCTGCGGCCGCTGTTTACTTTAAAGGATATGCCGTCTTTATCGCGCTATCCTACGTATACAGTAAAACGAGTCCCTAATCTATCGTCGGGACTACAATTAATATGAAATATGCAATCACCAAACTGCGAATCTTGTATGCATTCATAACGTACAATGATATAGAAAACACACCCTTAATTTATGCATTAAAATAAAATAAGTTGCTTGTTAAGTTTTCCATACTTTATATGGCCATAGTTACACTTTGTAATCACAGAATTTTACTTAAGCCTTTCCACCAAAGATCAAAGGATTTATAACACCCGGTGAGAGTTAATTAATCACGGCGGGGTGATTTTCCACGCGAATTTCCTTCGGTTTTATGTACACTGAAATCGCGCGTCGAGTTCCCGTTAAGGATTTACTTGATTCTTGATGGGAATTTTCCTAGTTTTATCGACACGGAAAGTTTATGGTGCATCGGGGTTACGCTGAGATGAAATTTTCTCTTTGAATTTTTTCATTGGCTTTGCGTAAAAGCGATTCACGTCCGATCCGATTTAAATTTTCGATACGGAATTTTGTAACTTGTTGCAAGATTGGATTTTTTTCAGGGGTTTTCCGCGTTAAACCTGATTTTTCTTTATTCGCCACAAGCGAGCAACCATTTTTTGCGTGTGTTTCTATTTTAAAGTTTTTTTCACGTTTGATTTTCAATTAAAATTCGACAGGTGTTTGCTGCTCCCTGAATACGAACGTGGATATCTACAAATATGTTTTGTTCGGTAACAATAGCTTGAATTCGCTGTGATACCTCTTTATTCCCGAGTAAACATTATGTTATTAGATGTAGAAATTAATTTGATGCCTTTACATTCCATCGTTCGTAACTGTAGTTTAAATAAGAATACATATTTTTAAAAGTCTTGTATTCGACGAAGATTGGCGAAGATCATTAAACCTTTGACTGTATAACTATCTTTACTGGAAACTCTAGGTGGCCTAGAGGTCTGAATTTTAAACAAAACTATCAATTTATAGGGAATGATAATCGTGATATTCATGTTCAAGGAGTAAAATACTACCCTCGAAGTCGTGAATGAAATACAAATTGTAAGGATGGACGAGTGGGACACTAGGGGAAAACGTAATTAATTAGTTCAAGAGTTTTATTAAACAGGACGTCCGCATGCTCCGTTTGATTTCAAACGGCCTCGTAGCGCTCATCCGTTCCACTACTTCTTTCTACATACATACATACATACATGCATACTTCTTACAAAATTTAATTAAATTTCGTAAACACTGACAGATACAGGCAACGTTTTAAACGTGAAAAAAGATTGATTCAACGAATTACGAACGAATATATTGAAAGGCAATCCTTTCTGATCAATCCTGATGTGTTAGAGCAAAAGAAATAACGAACAGACGTGTTATAATTACCGAATCCTTTAATCGTCAGGCGAATCATCAGGAGTGCTTTTGGAAAGTTGCAGCGAACAGGTAGTTGAGAATAAGGCGAGCTCATAACAAAATCATGGACCGAGAAAAGGAGAATACCGTTTCCCATTCTTAAACGCGCGATGAGCTTTCGCGGGATCGTTAACGAGTTGTCGAAATGCGCTATGGAAATTTGCCTCTCATGTCGACAAGAAATTGGCCTCGCACTTCTGCCGAGGCGGCTCATTTGCAGCGAACACGTAACACAGTAAACGGGAACTACAAATTTACAATCTCGAAAACGCAAGTTAATCCGCCTCGACTCAACTCGAGAACTACGCGAGCAAACCCTCGGCCGGTTGGTTTCTCGTACACTTCGTGGAAACTTCGTTGCTTCTGTTCATTCGCTAGCGAGCGTACTCGCTTCTAGGTCTGCGAGAAGTCTCTGGGCGAGCATTTGACGCCGACTCTCTCCGCCATCGCGTCTTTGTCGTTTCCCTTTGCCAAGCAATGCGACAACGGAGATGGAACGTTACCGCCATTGTCCGTAGCAATTCTTCTAAAAGCGTCGCATCAATGACAACGCTAAAAGGGAACAGAAATCTCGTGCGTATCCGCGCCTTACCTTTTCCACCTAATAATAAACATTCGTTCGTAGTCTCTTTATCTCGTCTTTCTATTTCACGGTATTATGAAAAATTCAGTTACCACGGCTGCCGGAGTATTCGTGCGCTTTCTCTCCTTCTTCGTTCGGACGTAGAAGTATTCTACT